TCGGTGTTGGGGGCTTCACTCCGGGCGGGGGTCCCTCCTGGTGGTGCTCCACACCAGTCCCTTTGCTGAAGCCTGAGCCCCCGCCACTGTTGGTCTGTACATCCCCCCAGGCTGATGATCCCCGCTGCTGCCCTGGCCAGCCACCTGCCGTGACCCCAGGAAGGTAGCGATGGAGGGGTTTGGGGGAGCCCCCAGGTTCCTGGCCTACCCACGTGCCTTCATGGTGCAAAGTGGCGCTGACGCAGTCCTGAGCTGCCAGATCACGGGCAACCCCCGGCCAAGCATCCTCTGGGAGAAAGACAAGACCCCGATCGAGCCTTCAGACCGCTTCCACGTGGAGGCCAAGGGGGACCTGTACAGCCTGCTGGTGTCCTGTGCCACTCCCCAGGACAGCGGGCTCTATGTCTGCAAGGCCAAGAACAGTGTTGGTGAGACCTATGCTGCTGCCACGCTCAAGGTGGAGGTGGGGGAGCCCCAGGAAGAGAGATGCTCAGGTGGTGAGGTGCCCACCTTCCTTGTTGCCCCCTCATCCACACGGGTGTGCCGGGGGGAGGACGTGATGTTTGCCTGCAGGGTGTTCGGGCAGCCCTGCCCTGTGCTGGAGTGGGAGAAGGATGGACGCAAGCCCTCCGACATCTTGGAGACCAGCCACTTCGCGGTGGGGCAGGAGCCAGAGGACTGGCATTTTCTGAAGCTATTTGGCGCCCGACCCCCAGACGGGGGGGTGTATGTGTGCCGGGCACGCAGTGGCTCCCAGGAGGCCCTGGCTGCTGCCGTGCTCCTGGTCGAACCCCGGGCGCTGCCGGACAGGCTCCCTAATGGCTCTCCTGCTGATGGCCCCGAGCTGCTGGCAGAGCGGCAACGGCGGCGGCAGCGGCACATGGTGGGACGGCATGCAGGACTGGACCCCCAGGTGCCCAACGGCATGGTGCCGGCCACAGTGCCAGGGGCCAAGGCATTCGCCGTGAGTGCGGGAAAGCATGCCAAATTTCGCTGCTATGTCACCGGCAAGCCCAAACCGGAGATCATCTGGCAGAAGGACGGTGAGCCCCTCGTCCTTGGCCGCAGGCACCTCGTCTACGAGGACCGGGAGGGCTACTTCATCCTCAAGGTGCTGTACTGCAAACCCCAGGACCAGGGGCTGTATGTCTGCAC